TAAGAACTTGTCATTTATTATGTAATCAAGTAAACAGCCAGGCAGTTCAATGATTTTTGGTTTTGTTGTAAAATTTATATATACGTACATCTGACTTTCTATTTTTAAATGAGAAAATACCAGTTACAGATACATGAATATGTACAACAGAAGACTGATCTACACATTCACAAACCCACTCATATCCCCAGTTTTCTGCTGACTTGGCATTAAAACTGTCCAGTAAGTTTTGCTCATTTTTAACAAAGTCAACCCAAAAAGTACTGTGGGAATGAAGAAAGGCAAACAAACAAAGAGAGCTTTTTAGAAAAATGTTATGATTCTAGATAAGGGAACGTATGAGAACAATTATTTATATCCAAGTAGTGCTGAATATTGTTTTAATTCTGACCTTTTTTGCTAAGAAAATTTACTAAAAAGGATGTTTCCACATATGCATGTTAACAAGTGGCTATTTGCTTACACAAGCAAATAGTCACAATTAAAGGCAAAAAGAAATAAAGCTCTCTTTATTTTGGACGACTTTCTGAAGATCCTCCTTTCCTTCTAAAAATGCTTGCTCATAGCATGTCCACAATTAAATCACACCTGTAACACTGGCAAATCCCACCAGAGGAAACTCCTCTCCACCATGAGGTCTTTCATATTGCGCTTGTCAGTGAGTGGAAACAGGAACATGAAACTCATGTTGTGCCCACAGCCAAGTCACAGCCACTCCTGCCACGGGTGAAAGAGTTCTGAGCTGAGAAGCAGCCCTCTGTCAATCACCTGGATGCAATTCCTTCATCACAGAGGTGGCAAAATGGGAATTTCTCATTAAGCCATCTTTGTACCACGTCACACTGGTATCCCCATTTAGGCCACCTCCTTATCACTTACCTGTTAAGAGATATTAGTGGGTCACGTGGGTGGGTTGGTGTGAGAGCAGAAGGACCAGGCAGCATTTATTGACATTAGAGTCATTACAACATAGCCAAATAGTCCAGGCACCTGCACACCACAGCTGGAAATGGGTTTTGCATTGAAGGGAGAGGGAGATGTGTAACTAAGGGCATCTAATTTGATTAGTAGGTTTGTGTGCCTTGGACTGTCCCATAATTCAGTCAATTAATCTATGCTTTAATAGCGGGGTCTTTCATGGCGCACATCCCAGGGTACCACACAAAATAATAAAATTAACAGCTCGTGTAATTATTATGGAAAGACAGTTACTTCTTCCTAAGTAAAATTTTATGCTTTCTGCCATGAATTTGGTGCAGGCCCTGCTGCCATCAGTCTTGTCAGGAAAAATCCTCCTATCACCGCATCCACACCTGTAAAATGTAGCCAGAAAATAGATTCTAAGTCCAGACTTCAGATGAAATTTCAGTTGTTCTCATTAATAGCCAGCAGCTCATCCTAAAGCCAGCACATCCCATGCAGTGCTGACTCCTGCCCAGGTCAGTGGAGCACAGCTGCATTCAGTCAGGACCGTGCTGGTTGGGTTTGTAGGCCAGGTGCTTCATCTCCTCACACACTGCCCCAACTGGAGCTATGTGCCACACATCAGCAGGCTGCCAGGGTGGCAAATGCTTTGTTCCAGGACATTTTTCTACTGGGAGAACATGAGATGGGATCTTTAACAGCTTTAACCTGGGAAAACACTGGTCTAGAGCATCAAAGCCAGGGAGAGATGGGAGATAACACGTGCCAAGGGTGTTACTCAGTGAATCTCTAAATATTTCACCAGGCACCAGCTGATGCAAGGAGGCTGTTATGCACATTTTTTGTTACAACATTACAGTTCAGCATTTCAGACAAGTCAAGTTGTTGCTCTTATTCAAATCCCCAGCATGATTTGCACACACTGTCAGGAGTAACTGCCTGGCAGAAAAAAAAAGCAGAGGAACTGAAAACCCAAACCATCCAAACCCCCTCTCCATTTCTTCCTTATGAGCAACCAATATTTAAGCTGCCATTTTTCTTTAGAGCTAGTGTGCCTTGCTCCTCTGATGAAGGTTTGGATGTGGTGCTCAGGGACATGATTTAGTGGAGGGATGTTAGAGTTAGGGTAGAGTGGTTAGACTTGTGGTTGGACTTGATGATCTTTAAGGTCTTTTTCAACCTGAGCAATTCTATGATTCTAAGGTGCCAAGAGCTCTTCCCCAGCCCAATATTTTTGGCCAAGCCCTCTTAACTCACACTGGGGTAAGAACAGCTGTCCCAGCCGCTGATCCTCACCCCACTCCCAGGTATGGGGCTGAAAAGCAGCTCTGTCCCACACAGGCCTGGTGTCTGCCTCTGCTCAGCTGACTCAGACAAGCAGAATCATGGAGAGGGGCTGAGTGCTCCCCTCCCACAGCTGGGACAAACCTCGGGGTTGCTGGGTATCGCCCAGAGCCATGACAGCTCTGCAGCGATATTCAGATAAAGTGAAAGACTGAGATCATGGTTATTAGAGAGCAAACATCATAATCAGGTAAGGAAATAACCTGACTGCCTTCTACTTGCTGCTGTGTCCCGAAGAAATTATGCTGTTCCTCCTTATAAATAATAGGGGTGTGCAACGTGTCATTCCTATTCAGTGTTTGTGGGTTTTTTGGTGCTTATTGATGCTGCATCTGTTTTGTCAGTGCGTCAGCTAATGGAGAAAGTTAATTGTGTTGGTTGTAAGGCCACCTGTCACACACATGCCTCATTTCCATACTAATAGCCCAACAGTGGCAGGCAGTGTGCTCCTCTGCAGCAGCACACGCAGCCTCTCCACCAGCCCAGGCCAAATGTGCCTATGCAGCAACCGCAGCCCTCGCCTCCAAACACTGCTGGAGCTGCGGCACCCAGCGCAGAGCCACGGCAGCACCAGGCTGCAACGGGTCACGGAGACACTCTGAGAAACACGTTCTCTCTTGGAGGCAGAACCAATGCCAGAAAAGCTATAATTAATTAATATTTTATTTAAACATATGGGAAATTATTCTGTGAGAGGCTTCCCTTCCTTCTTTCTTCTTTCTCCCTCGCTTCATACAGAAGATTATGTGAGTGGAAGGATTCACTCTGAAGTATCAACCCATGGCTCCAGCATGATTTCCTCTGCTCTGTAAGGATCCCTCATAAACCCTGGCAGAGTTTACACCAAAAGCATGCCCCACGAGGGGATGCCTGGCATCCCGACAACTTCAGGGGAGACCAATCTTCATGCCTTTTAAATCACTGCAGCTGAAATTAGAAATAGCGTGTACAGCTATTGGGCTTTCAAAGGAATGTCCTGTGGGCTGAGAAACCTGCTGTGCGTGATCTGCTGCTCCTTTGCACCCTCTGTCTGCAAGCCTGTGAGAAAAAGAAAATGCTCCAGCTGCAAAGTATTGCCTCGTGGTGTAATGCAGCCAGTGACGCAGCAAATGCTGTGCGTATGTCAGGGTTAGGAACAGAGACATCTGTGTCTGTTACAAAGGGAGGAACCGGCCAGAATGTCTGCTGCTGAGCTAAGTGTCAGGTGCCGGGGTGCATAACAGAACTGGGCAGGGCCAAAGTGGGCAGCACCTGCCCCTAGATCCTCACCTGGCTGAGAACAACTAGGTTTCATCCTGCACAGCTGCAGAGTTCTCCTGTTTCTGCATTGAGCCTCTCTACATGCTGTAGTGATACCTGCAAACATTTCTTTGGCCAAATGGCCCTGCGTGCCTTGAGAGTAGCTGTGCAGGTTGGTTTGAGAGAGGGTGCGCCTGGTGGCAATCCAAAGAGCCTTTCGGCTTGATGTGCCCCATCTAAGAGCCCTTTCAGTTTGATGAGTCCCGTCCTCCCTATGGCTAGTTTTGTGGAGAACTGTACTTTAAAGTATTTTAGTGCTGAGGTGGTTTTTTTTTTGTTTGTTTGTTTGTTTTCAACGCGGACTGGCTGAGCTGAAGCATCAAGCAAACATTTACAAATTCTAGAGCTTTATAACCTGTTCATCTCTGAGACAAAGGCTTCCTCTTCAGAATGTGTACAAACTGCTCGTTTGCATTTGGCTGAAGCAAGCATTTTATTGTATAAAAAAGATCCTGCCAGGGCTGCACAGACTGCCATTGTGAGTGATGTGTGGCCGCTCCACTCGCTTTGTTGCACACGCGGCTGCTTGAAGTCGTGCTGCCGGGGCAATGACCCACCCCTTCCCCTGCTCCAGCAGAGCAGACATCCACCTCCTGAGTGGGCCTGAGGAATTTATCTCCAAGTCTGCTAACTTCTCCCCATGTGGCTGTTATTCTTTTCCCCATGCGAAGGGCATAAAATTAGTGGCAGAAAAGCAGCACAGTCTATGTGGGACAAAGAGTGTTTCTCGAGTCCTGGATCCAGGCACATGCATCTCCCATCTTCCAGCTACAAATTAAGGTGAAGAACAGATGCATGCTGTTATGCGCTCCAGTTTCCAAGGGAAGAAGGCAGAGGGCAAGAGACCCACAGGAATTTCCAGCAGCTCCTAAGCCTCAAACCCTCTCTACTCTATGACCTGCACATAGCCACGAAGGTTATCACAGCTTCCACGCAGGGAGACACAAGAATCTATCTCTTCACACGAATATGACTGTTTTTCCATTACCTCTAGCTAGCTGAAATTTTCTGAGAATACTTTTTTTCCAGCATAGTACAGTCTTAGACACGGAAATCCTCATGAAACACGAAATTAAAGGTTGCAAACTAGCCCAGCACTGTTGTCAGCTTTTCTGTGCAACCGGTAGCTTGACACCTCATTTTAACACTTGTGGCTGTTAATAGCACAAAGTGAGGGCATGCTGACCAGACTGTGGCAGTTGGTGTCCCACTCTTCTGACTTCTTAACCAAGAGCCTTCCAGGCTAAATTCTGGCTCTTTCTAGTTTCAAATGTAGATTTAATGACTAGCTTTATATTGTACACACACATACGTATACAAATATTTATAAAAATTAATTAATACACGTGTTTTAAACAGTTAATAAAAATACAGTGTGTTTGTTAATACTGAAAACAAATAGGATTTCTAGAAATGGTAAAAGAGTTGTTTTTTTTTTTTTTAAATAGCAGTCCAAGCAAAACCAAGACATGTTTTTTCTGTCTTTCAACTATCTCTTCTGTTTTCTTTCTTGAGAGTAAAGCCAAAACTGGAAAACTGAGTTTGGGCCTAGCAGAATTCCACCTTAAATTCTCCCTCTTCCCAACAAAGAATAACATTTTACTTTTGGTTTTGTTTTTTTTTTTTTCCCAGAAATATTTACATGTTTCTGAGCCAACACAACAGCTGATAGTGCTACTTCCCACTCCACCACATTGCATGCTGTGCCTTCTGCACAGACCTCATGAGATTGCGTGATTGCATATATAACCTTGCTCCACACAGTGTCAGTATTGTTCTGATCCTTTCTCTTCCCCCACATGAGTTTTTGTGTTCAGCATATCTTGGCATTGTGAATTGGAGGCTTTCTAAAGGAGGTCTCAATTTACCCCTGATTTACCCCTATAAATCAGCTAATAAACCATTGTCAGCACTGGTGTTATTACACTACATGGAAACAATGAGGATGGAATATGCTGGTACAGACAACAGCATTCCAGTTCTGAGGGCTGAAATGCACAGGACCCTCCAAATGCTGAGGATGCACGAGGGTAGCCTGCAGGACAAGAGAAAATCTGCAAGGTGATTCCTACATCTCTGCTCTGCTTCACTGCTCTGTGACAAGTACAAGTCAATGCATTCAGCCAGAAGTAGGTAAAACCAAAGGCAAGGCTGTGATTACAGCTGGGGTCATTTATTTTTCTCCTGGGAACTCTCTATCCAGAAACGCTGTGGATGCTTTAGATAAGTGGAATACTGAGGCGAATATCTCACAGCCAGCCGGCCGCATGAGGAAGAACCTGCTAGGTGGTCTGTGGGGCCGTGCTATTAGCAGCAAGACATGGGGGAACAGCCTGGTGCTTCCTCTTCTTTAGGCTGAACAGGGAAGACTCATTTGGGAGAGATGTCTCAGCCAAAGGATGCGTCAACCTCTTTTAATGCCACATAATGCAGCTCGGGTGCCTGCCAAATCCCAACGCGCTGGAACAGACAGAGACAGAGGGCTATGTGAGCTGCCCCAAGGTGCAGCACCTACAGGAGAAATCTTCCTGCCCTGCCAGGGAACCCTCCCTTCTCCATGGTCAGGAGAATGTTTAACTTGTCTTTTCTGTTTTGAGTCTTTTCTGTTTTGATTCTTTTCTCCTTCACTTTTCACGCCCGTGGGCTCTTGGCAGCCAGCCTAGCACAGTGACGTGCCACAGGGTCCTCATGTTACCATACGGAGTTTGTTCAGTGTGGAGCAAAAGGGAGAGAAGCGTGCTGCTGTGTAGACATGTGATGTTGTCTGCATTAAAATAAAAAAGTGTTGGCGATAGTAAGGCTATAAAATATATCCAGAGCTATTAATAATCAATGCCAAGGGCAGAGTGGTTGGCATATTCAGTCTCATTCTTCAGACCTTAAGGCAACCTCTTATTTCCCAGTGTTGGGGTGAGACTGACCCTGAAGGCAGTGCAGTCTCTGTCCCTTACCTCTGCCCATTCCTTTTCCAATGCACCAGGACCTGTCACTACTGCAGAAAAGAGGAGAGATGAGATGGACTTTGTGTCTGTTCAAGCAGGTGGTCACTGTGCTCTGACACAAAGCTGCTGTTGTTTGCTGTCCACATTCACTTTGCTAGTGGTCAAAAACAATACCGTGTACAAATATTATATCACACCTTACTAAAGTAAGTGTAATGTCAGCCATTTGGATTCATTTCTGGAGAAGTTCATAGACTTCTGTGCTACATCCTTGTATCCAGTCCAGGTACTGTCCTTTGGAGCAGTTTGCACAGTGCTTCGCACAGTGCCCAGACACTCTTCCTTTGATCACTAAAAAGAATTGGGATTTCATAGGAGTATTTCACTGGGCTGTAACGTTATCACTGTTGCATTTGTGTCGTAACAGAAGACCCTGCACAGATATGCAAAGAGTATTCTTTATTTCTTTCAGCCACAGTACACCTCTTGAGTGTCCGGTTTGGGAGTTGTCATTTCCCTCAATGGATATACAGCATTTCATGGCATTGTGTAATTTTGTGGGGTTTTTTTCCTGCATTTGGTTACAGGTAGGGTCTCCACAATCATTTGGCAGAGAACAATTTTTTAGTCACGATAAATCTCTTAGCCTGGCCTCTCAAATCCTAATGATTAATAATTTTACCACCACACTCTCAAAACAGATGGAGCTTTGCACTGTGTTTTAAAGCACTTAAGCCCTAACCTTGATGTGTGCAGGAACACTTAGTGCCTGGCAGAAGCAGGCTCCTCTCTGCCACTGAACTGGGGCTCTGTGCCCAGATCATCTCCTTCTCCCCTTTTCCTTTCTCTTAGCACTGCGGTTTCCTCAGACCTCTCATTCCCTGGGTGTTGGGGAGCAAGGGGCTGATCTGTGCTCATCCCATGGGCTCTGATGAGCTCACATTTTGGGCACCCCTGAAGGCAAAATGACATCTGCATTCTCAGTGCTATAGAACGAGAGCACAATGCTTTAAAGCCTCTCAGAAAACCTACAGGACAGTTAATATGATTTAAGCCTATATTTAAATTTTATGAGACTCATTTTCAAGGCTAATAACCCAGTTTACTGTGCACAATATCGAATGCAAATTTTATTACTGACTTGGTAAAAACCAAGACGATGTTCATTAGCATATCTCAGCGCATCACCCTTTTTAGCCAAAAGGTGCACCAGGAGTAACAGTGGGAGTTTTTATATGTGCTGTAAATTACAGTTACTATCTCATTAGATAAACACATTTAAAATCAGGTTATCATTCACTTATATATCAGAAAGTTGTTTGTTCAATTGCAGTTAGTCTCCTATTACAACATATGGTACATGAAATTCTTAGACTAATAAAATTTCAAGGTACGGGAAGCTGGTGTCTTGGAAAAAACTGTTTCTGCTCAATGAATGGCTCGATATAATCTGTAATTGCTTAGAAACAATTATGCAGCAGGCTGTTTTGTACTTAATAGTATTTACATCCTTGGGTTTATTAGCAACAAAATCTAAGTGGAACTTGTGAAAGAGAAAATAATTTTTCCACTAAAAGGTATAAACTTTTAAGTTAAAGATCCAGCAGATTGTGGAAATCTAAAATATATGTAATAGACTCTAATTTAACTTAGTTCTCACTGAAATGTTTCATTATTACTTCAGATACCTGTGGTACTTGGGTTATCTCCTTTGCACCCAAGGAATTCCATTCAAACTTCCATGACCTGAGCTGAATTCCTCAGCTCTTCCATCGTGCTGGATAGGTTTGTTTTCCTGCTCAACTCTAGTTTCGCCATCTCCTGTAAGTGTTACGTAGCTATTAGGAAGTGTCCATATACGTTATCTGAAATCAAACTGAAAGTTCATGCACTCATGAAGTTCTCAGAAAGTTCTGCCTACTAAGTTTAAGCAAACTGTCTAGAATGCATGAATGAGTTCAGTCAGCATTTTGTACTGTTCTGTATGCTGGCAATTCAGTGAGCAGCAAGGTACACAGTTTCAGAAAGGGAGGCATGCCGAATACACAGCAACTGTGATGCAGGTATGCTTTGGATCTAACTTCCCTGCTGTAAGAACTGCTGGAGCTCCAGCTGCTGGAGAACTCAGCCAGCTGACATCATCCTTGCATTATGTCTAACTAAAGCCCTACACTTCACCAGCTACACTCAGCATATCCACATAGATTTCATCAGGTTTCATGCTACATGCTGATGATGCACAAGTTGAAGTGTCTAAAGTGGGGCCCTTTCAGTGTCTAGAGGGGGGTTATAAGAAAGAAGGGGACAGACCCTTTGAGAGGGCCTGCTGTGATAAATCAAAGGGAAATGGTTTCAGACTAAAAGAAGGCAGATTTAGACTGGGCATTGCCTTCAGTTTTCTTTGTACTAACACATTCTTAAATATCGAAACTAAAATCCCAACCTTTGAGTTCAGCTTTACTTACCTGTCTCTTGGGCTGTAACTTCACTGATCTTCCTGTTGTTCTTGTTTGCAGTGAATTCCCAGCGAAAGCCCTCACCATTACACACTCACAGTGCCAGCAGTATCCTGGGAGGACCAGCGTATGCAAAATGCTGTGTTACTGCTATCACCTATCAGGGCTTGTCAGAATAAGGAATAATAAAACTTTAACAACAATCCTCACCCTCTCTGCAGGGGAATCTCTTCAGTTGCTGCTTTCGAAGGATTTGCAATAGGGGCTGTTGTAAGGAGCAAGTTCTGCAAAGCTGTGCAGCCTTCTGGGCTAGTCCTGATAAGGACTTTGTAAGTGCACACCCTTGACTGCAAAAACAACTTCACATTTTGCAGCAACAAAAGCGGGTGTAGTCTGGTTTCAATCTCACTGATCCAAGGTACTACAGAAAGTAAAACCACAAATAACATTATGGAGCAAGACTGGAAAATCACCATGTGGGAAAATAAATCCCTCTGCATGCTCAGTGCAGGCTGCACCACCAAACTTCCTGGCTGTTGTGGGACCCTGTCTCTGCTGCTCACTGCCTAGCTCAGGGTGGGAGCCCTGAGGGCTACTACCCTTCCCTGAGAAGCAAGAGGGCTAAACCTGGTGCCAGCTATGTCTTCGAGCAGCAGGTTGGCTTCTCTGAAATGTGCTGTAGCAGCCTGAAAAGCAGCTCATAGAGTAGATGCTGCCTTACCAAACCACAAAAGTTCACTGCTCTTTTAAGGTCCTACACAAGGTATTCTGCTCCTACCAGGTGCGGAATATCCCCTTATCCTGCCTAGCAGGTACCAGGCTCCTTTGTCTATTCATCACTAATTCAAGCAAATTTAGGCCTACCGCCCAACACTGATGTTTACTTGCATTCACATGGAGCAGGAAACCCTTTTTTCTTTGTGTTCATTCAGCACCAAAAAAACTGAAGGCCATTTATGATGAGGTCTTCCGGGTCCTGGTGCAGTGACGTTAATAGTAGCTGGATATATTTAGAAGTTAGTCTTTTTAGTATTTAGTATTAGTATTTAGTTTCTGGCGTGGGCGATTTGTTGATATTTTTGCCATTTTATAGCTTCTACAGTTGAATATAAATAGATTGAAACAGGTCCCTGCTTTCATATACTTTGAAGTCTAACCAAAGATGGTTTTATCAATAAACCAAGCTGCTTTTTTTTCCTGAATGAGTTTTGCCTAGATTATGTTCAGTAAGTGCCTGTATGTACTTCTGAAGGGAGAAGTGAGGCTTAGGAAATACATCCATTAAAATGATACTTTTGGCAAGACGGCCAGGCAAACATTAGCAAGGGTGGAAGAAGGTAGAGTGAGGTACAGAAAGATTCACAAGCATAAGAACTGTGGCACTCTGCACAGTGGTAATGGAGGCTAAAATCTATGAATATTTGTGCAAAAAAGCCTGAAGAAAAATTTGGAGTTTACTCACTAAACAGATATTTCGCAGTTGCAGTGATTTAGTGGTTAGTTTATGTCCTGAATTAGAAATTCCTGTTTGTTTCAATTTTTGTTTCTGTAAATTTAGATGCTGTTCTTAGATGTGTCATTATTTTGCAGGTTCTCAGAAAATCTCCCAAAATAATGAAATCCACACGAAGTCCTCTGTCTCCCACATCATTCTAAGAAAACCTAACTTAGGTTAGTGCTAAGTTTGCCATCCTTCTTTCCATAATAGGAAGAAGCACTACCATTTAATCTCTTTACCGTCTTCCTCTTATCTGATATTCACTTCTGCTCAAAACAAAATATTCTCAGGGATCTGGAAAGCCTTTTGGTTTTTTTCCCCAGATTTTCTTTTAGACATTTGTTGTTATCAGGATGGGAGGGTGGGTAACAGCCTAACACTTGCTAACACACATTAATAACCCTTAACAAAAGTTAATTTACCTGAGAAATCACACTGCTTTATCTTCAATCTCATTTTGAAGTAGCCATCTTCCTTTCTGAAGCTTTGCTTAATTCTTTAGAAGAGAATTCTCTTTTCATTTTCCTTTCCCCCAGCAACCTGGAAGAAGACCAGAGCTCTTGTATTTTGGGGAGGGGAGAACAATGCTCACCTGGTGTATTTAATTCCCTGCTCCTAACCCCAATAGACTATGAAGGCCAAAGAATGTTTTCTTCCCTGACAGAGAAGAAGTAGAAAAGAGTGATGATGATGACTGTGGCTTTCTTCAGCTGTGTGAATAGTGAAGAATGAAATCACTATGGAAAGTATGAGCTTGGAAGAAACCTTGAGAAGCTGTTGGGATTGGTAACCCCCTGATGCAGGGGAAGGGTGGATTCCTAAACAGATTGCAGATTAACTTCATTGTTACAGAAAGCCAAACATTCAACTGACAAACTCCCAAATCTGGAGATAGCCATCTGCTATGATGATAACAATAGCAGAAGTCTTAAATTAAAATAAATTGAATAAAGTAAAATATAAATTGCATAAAGCTTTTTATGGAAGATGTAGAAATGTAAGATTTGAAAAGTAGTGTAACCAGTTGGAAGGATGCAACAGTTTGGACACCTTTTGATGGGTGGCAAAGTGCAACCAACTTGGCAGTGACATGGAAGAGAGGAGTAACTAGTGAGAAGCCAAGGCCAGACAGGTACAAGGACCAAATAGTCAGTTCTTTTCAAGTGGAAAATTTTACCGGTGAGTATGAGCTGAGTTTCTTTTGCTCTAGGAATTATTCAATGAGCTAGGCATTTGTCACCATAAAAAAAGGCATGCTGTCTTAGAAATAAGAGGGACTGGTGATCATAGTCTAGTCCTCATAAAAGGACAACAGTTTTGGTATGACCATGTGCCAGCACAGTAGTTCGGACACTGAAATGACAGATGGTGTTTATAGCCAGAACTGACATTGTTTTGTGATAATGCTTAAAATTATATTGTTCATAATTCAAATAGGAAATACTTTTCTTGGCGTGAGGCACTGAAACTGTCCTAGGTCTGACTTCTCTAACCCATTTCACCCATATACATTTCTGTCCTTCAATGTCATAGAAGCAGTAAGTTCATGCACACTTGAGAACAGGAAGAAAACTGTGATGCTATGAAGTTGTTCAAAATGCAGGAATTATAAATACAAAGCAGTGCTAACTGAAGATGCAGTCTTCTGTATGGTTTCTTTATAAAAATCAGATTTGAATGTATATTAAGATGAAAATTACCAAAATGAACAATCTCCCAATCTCCCCTTTTTATAATGCTGTACCTTTTTATAATGCATCACCTTGTACACTGTGACTTAATAGTGGCAATTCTTTGGAAATCTCTGACTTGTTTTGTTTTTTTTTTTTTTTGTCTTTCTAGGTAGTTTAAAGCAAAGAAGTAATCTCATGTGATGGCAACAGAAAATTTCCATGGCTGAGTCACTGTGTCTTTGAAAACAAATTTCCACATGTCACTTTGAGACCTTTCAACCTTAGCAAAACCTTCAGGAAAGCTGATTCTTTGTGGGCTTGGGTTGGATTTTTGGGTGTTTTTTCAAAGTATCATTTTTTCAGTCAATAGTCTTGACACTTAGTGAAAAACCTTCAGTTGAATTCCTGAACATATCTGTCTGTCTCCAGATGATCCATAAGTTTAATCACTTCACAGTTTACTTTCGTCTAGATTCAGGAAAAAGATTATATTTGGACAATGTCCTCATTGATATGCTTTAACTTTTGGTTAGCTCTGAAGTGCGCAGGCAGTTGTACTAGATAATCTTTGAAGGTTTGTTGCAACAGAACTGTTCCATTCTGTTCTGCTCTAATATACCAGCTGAGTGTGCCCAGAAATTGGGCTCCGTTCTTGTCTTCTCATGGAGTTCAATGTCTATCTATATTATAATTTTGCAACATAAGAAAATAGTAGAGAATAATGCCATAAATTCCTTTTGTTGTCATCTTAAAGATGTCTCTAAAGTAGTCTTATCCTGGAACATATTAGGCATTTTTGATATACAGAGTTGTACAGGGAGGCTGAAGGAGGCAAAATGGCCAAGATCTCCCAACAGCAACGTGACTGAACAGCCTTTAATCTTTTTATCCCATCACAGTAGACTCTTCCTCACAGAGATGAATGGGAAACAACTGCTCAGCTGGTTCACTCACCTTCCTCCTAGCACAGCTTCTCACCTGTCCTATGAGAGCCTGCATTTCTGCATGTCCTGCCATACTTTAAAATGTGAAGATTATAAGAGTTTTCTCCCCTTTTTTATGTCACTTCTTCAAAGCCAGACAGACTCACTGCTTTCTTTCCTTTGATCAGCTCCACAGTGCTGTAGAAAGAAATGGACTCTCTTGGGCAATGTACATCACCTTAGGGAAAAATACAATTTTAGAATTCCAAAAATCCCAAACTTTCAAGCTTTTCAATTTATATCTGCCAAGCCATTATTCTGAAACCACCAACTATATGGGACTTTTATTTTGGCACATCCTGTAATAAACTCTCTACGTAGTGCTACGTTTTCTTTCTCAAGACTGGAATTAACCCTCCTTTCTGGGTTTAGAAGAAGTATCTTGGTTTCAAGATACTTGAGATTTGAAGAGGTCTAAGATTTGAAGCAGGGTGGTTCTTGTTGACTGTTCTCAGTTGAGCAAAAGATGTCCAGACATAGCTCATAGCCCTATCTGTCTGCCTGCTTGTATCTACCCAACTAGCTATACATCTGTCTTATCCAACTCCATATTTTGGTGCTTGTCCTCACTATCTTATTCACCAAAACAGCCAAGCAGAGGTCAGAGAAAACCCTGGGAAAGCTTAGCAATCAGGTGTTAAGGCACATCCCTGGGATCCCAAAGAAGACCACGCTGCTGTGACGTCAAGTGTGACTGGAGTTTCCTCCTCTGTGTGAGGACTGAGTATTCTTGGGGAAAGAACCAGAAGAAGAGAGGAGAGGAAATGGGAGCTAGCACAGAAACAGCTTCTTCCACAGAAACTGTTCTGCTTTCTGTAGTTCCAAGGGGCCAATCACACTTGGTGGGAGGAAGACTACAGCCCCTAGCAAATCGACTTCCCCTCCCCTTCTTGCCTCGAGGGTTCCCAGGTCAAGTGTCTCTGCTAGGGAATCCCCATGCTCTTCTTGCTTCCCAGAACCCCCTTGCCAAGGGGTTTTCCACTGAATGGGCAGACAAGTCAGACCTGTATTTTTTCTAGTTTATTAACTTTGTATATATTGATGGAATTCATCATCGTCTACTGAAAACATCAGTCAAACAACAGAATCCATTCTTGACATTTTCTACTCCCTTCTCTAAAGCAGAAAGTACTGTAGCAGCAGATCTAACCAAGAGTATAAAAGATCAAAGGGGAAAATTAGGAAAAAAAACCCAAGCTTTATTTTGCACTCTTAGTGACCAAATAGCAAGAGAGTGACTCCAAGTTTTAAATTACTCTGGCACTTTAAATAGCAATTGGAGATGTTTTTTTTCTTTTAATTTTAGAAGATACTTTTGAAAGTGGATTTGAAGCTCCCAGCGTTTGTCTTGCTGTTACACAGCTGAGGCACATCCCCTCTTACTGCAGCTGAAATTTCTCACAGCTCCTACGCTGCACTTTACACAGAGCAAGTTCTGCGTGTGAAATGCAGGCAGAGTAAGGAGCACTGCTGCAGCAGGCTTCATGTGGTATTGATAAGCAGCAGCACACGAAGTAAACGTGATCTGCCCTTTGTGGCTGGTGGGGCGGAACGGCGATGCTGAGCGCTGCTGACCACGGCTGCACCCCCGGCAGCGCCCACCACCGTGTGGACAGACAGACGAATGGATGGAAGCACAGAAATCTAAGGCATCTAATTAAGACTCCCTCATGGAAAAGCTATAGCTAGGTAAACAAAACTGTTTAAAGTGTGTTCATCATTAAAGTGTCCCCCGACAGCAGGATGTGGCAGCAGGCTCGGTGACAGAAGGGAGAAGAAGAGAGGCATATGGCCCCCAGCCTCATCCCCTGCTGACAAGCTGCCTCGCTGCAAGCCCCCTTTTCTCTGTCTTCCTTGCGTGCAGCAGATTGCAATGGCCCAACTTCCCCATCTGTATCCCAGTCCTGTGCCCCCGACAATGTGGCAGCCATGCAGCTTCGTCGTGGCCGGGAGCGGGAGGAGGAGGGGGGAGATATTAGCGACCAATAATCACAATGCTATCCATAATGCATTGTCTCTACAAGATTACATGGTATATTTCCAGTGGGGATTAGCCCATCCATCACAGGCCTTTATTGGCCCTTTTTTTGTTGTATAAAGCCCAAACACTGTCGTAAAATTCTAAACCGCTTAATTGCTGTGCTGTAAAAATTTGCATATCAGAGATATGTCATTCCTTCGTTAAATGGCACTAGGCATTTGTTACAAGGTCCTAACAATCAGGCCAGAGCACCTCAGAAAAAGGTCAGCCCTTGGCATTATGCAAAGTTCTCCGCTGAATTCTAATCTGCAGTAATTACGGGTTTAAATATATTGCAACTTAATGGATTTTTATTCTGTGCAATTCTAACTCCCTGGGCGCACGGTCTCCTTGTTCTGTGTGATCAGACTGGGTAAGCAATGTGGTTGTGGTGGCACGGTCTCTGTTTCTGTATGGCCTGCAAACTGCCTCCCAGAAGATTTTATCATAAACTACAATGTCACTGAGCTCCAGTACAAGTTTTCCTTGATGGGCATGCATTTATGGTGAGTTCTTCATTTCTTAGATTAATGGCAAGTTCTGAAGATACTATGGAAGCCATAGCATTGCCACTTTTAGAATTCATCATTGAAAGCAACCTGAAGATACAACTTTTTCCATGTGCACTAAGAAAAAGGATCATTATAATATTGAGCAGAAATATTGTACTTCTAACCCACGGATCTCAAAGATGTGCATTACAAAAGGAAGAAAATATCATCCAGATTTTACTCACTGAGAAACAGGCTTGTGAGACCTCAGCTGCAAGCACAATACCTGCCAAGAACTGCTCTGTCAGGACATATCCTCCTTTAATGACCCAATCTCTCACCTCACTCCCTGGTCCTCCATGGCTCTACATGG